GTGTTTTAATCTTTTTTTCCACTTCTAATTTGCTAATAATAAGTCGCTTGAAATTATTTAGACGAATAAACATGTTTTCAACACCATTTAGCAATAAATATCGCCAAAAAACGCCACCTTTCAAACTGACAATGTTAAGTCTATGGGAAACTTTTTTGCCGTTTATTGGCTTTAAAAATTTTGTTTTTACGCCTTTTATGCTCTAATTGGTCATTTCTATCATGACTGACTCTATATCAACCAATAAGCTTTCCCTCAAAACACGAAGTCAGATCGACCCACCTCCGTTAGTCGCGCGAAAAAAAATTACACCGTTAGGCGCGCGGGGTACTATAGCACCCGACTGATTTCCATTATAAGTCTATGCAAAAAATTATTTTCGTGCAAAATTGAAATTTTTTCGGTGCGATCTTTACACTATGGAAGGAAGGTACTGAGGGCATCATTTTTAAGCACAAAAAATTTTAAAAAATACACGCGTTTAAACACGCCGGGGGTTCTATATAACCCCGCGCGCTATACAATAGAGTTATTTCACTTTGTACTAAAACCTTTGGACCAATTGTTTAAAAGCTTGCCAATCAAAACCTGTAGTAAACGAGAAACCGGCTTTACTTTCGGTCTATTCGTCAGTCTCAGTCCAAATTAGTAATCCTGCATTGCTACAGATGTAATCATTACTCCTCAATATTGTGTTACCTGGTAAATGGTGATTGCACAGATGAGTACGTCATTGTTTACTACGCACTAAGCTAATAATGGTGGGGAAAAACAAAACAAAACAAAAAATTTCTCAGACGAGAAAATGGTACTAGTGTGTATAATAATGGCCGGATGACTGAGCGGTCAAGGTGGCAGCCTACCGCTCTGGGGGACTCAGGATCGAATCCGGACGGGTCAAATAATCCTGAGGAATTTTTGGGGGTGGTCCTTTCGGATATGTCGGGCCCCGTCCCTCGCCANAAAACATCATACAAGAAAAAATAATTATAAATTATTATATCTAAAGGCAAAATACTGGAGTAAAATCAAAATGTGATCATTTCAACACAGTATTTTCTACGTAATTCAGAGAAAATTGAGAAAAGAAAAAGTATATTTTACGGAGAGAAAAATGTGGAGGTGCTCATTCAATCACTGTTGAAGCAAAACACCAACCAACTGATCAAGCACCTCCACATTTTTCTCTCCGTAAAATATACTTTTTCTTTTCTCAATTTTCTCTGAATTATGTAGAAAGAAATCTGTAAAAAATGGCAGAAAGTCAAGTACAGTATTTTCTAATAGATAATAACCAAAATTATAATTACTTATAAACTGTTCCATTAATATTTGCATAAAAAAGAAAGGAGAGAATATTTTGTACAGGAAGATAACTAGTCATTACATAAATGATAATTATAGAACAAAATGTTAACGAAAAATATTTGTTATTTTGCACAATTTGAGATTATAAATCCAAAGGAAGACGTACTGTTAAATTCTACAGCTCAAAGAGAAATGTTGTCCAGTTTTGTTAGAAACTTTGTACACTGTGAAGATTTATATTTAAAATTACACAGCAATTTAAATGTTATCAAAATGTTTAAAGTTGTTTGTTAGAATAATTAAAATAAAAAAAAAAACAAGTTTCTTTTTCTGATGGATTATATTTTATGATTGCAATAAATATTTGTGACCTTAATTTTGTTCTGATTTCTTTTTAAAATTTAACACATTATATACTGTATTTTGATATTGAGGGTATACAAGATATGGCAGAAAAGTAATGAGACTAATTTTTTTTTGTAACAATTTTATTTTATTTTTATACATTAATGTTATCCCCTTTAAAATAATACCCTTGGGCAGCTGTACATCGGCAGAGGCATTATTGTCAGTTTTCGTAGCAGTGCTGGAAGGCTTCAACTGGAATAACCTGCATCAGTGCAGTTATGCTCCTTTGGATGGTATCGGCAGTACCAAGATGATGTCCTTTTAAATGGGTTTTGATCTTGGGGAACAAAAACAAGTCACATGGACTGAGATCAGGCAAATAGGAGACCTGGGAAACCACAGAAATGTTTTTTTTTCTGTCAAAAATTGGTTGATGGAGATGGCTGCGTGACAGGAGGAGTTGTCATGGTGGTGCATCCAGGTGTCTGCTATGTCCTGTCTGACTCAAAGCATGCTTTTTCAGAGCCTTTCAAGGAATCTTCACTCATTCCACGCTTTCCACAGTTCTCGATGTTGAATATCTTCCTGAATGAGGTTCGTCTTTTACTGCTTCTAGGCCCTCCAAAAAATGCTTTGTGCTATTGAAAAACTTGTGCTCATGATAAGAAATGTTCTCCATAGACTCTTTTCAACTTTTCATGGGTCAAACTTGCAGGTTCAACATTAACACAAAATTTGATGCCACACAGTTGCTCCAAATTACACTATTTCATTTTCCGTGACTCAATTCAAAAACAATACTTATCACACTCTCTAGGATCATGTAGTTACTGCACGAGGTTGAAACTGTTACTGAGTGTCTAGGAGAGACAGACGTACAAGTTACATGAAAGGGGAGTCCACAGTGTTGCCAGATTGCACTTGGTGATACCAATCTCATTACTTTTTTGCCACACCTTGTATTTTAAACCATATAACTCATTCTTCTTGATTTGTTGTTCATTCTTTTAATACTGTGATTACAGTATTAAATGAAACAAACATTGTACTGTATTTCAAATAATGATATAATCATATTTTATGACATCATCATTTGAAATACAATGCAATGCTAGAAATCTTCTGACAGATGTTTTAGATTTGATTTTTTAAAAATTCCTAATTTTTTTTATCATCACACAGGATAAATAAAGCTGCTGACACCTTAATCACCTCATCCATCCAGCTGTCAAGTGTCAGTATACAATGAATTTCTTGCTTTTACCACGTAACTATTGTACACTTTGTTGAATCTTGGAAAACCACTAATCTACTTGGATCCTATTTCCCATAAGCTCAGTATCACATTTTTGAAAATAGTAATTATGTAACTGATAAGTTACATAATTACTATTTTCTGTTTTAAAAGAAATAATGTGCCAGAAATAATATACCTAGCCAGAATAATATGCCTGGTCATTTCTATTACAGAATTCTACTGTAATAGAAATGACCAGGCCAGTGACATAACTATGATTTTGAAATACCCCTGCAAACATTAAATGGCTAATCAGATAAGGTTTCAGTTTATCATTGAACAGAAACGTACTCAGCAAATTAATAAATCAAATAACCAACACCTTATTTGTTGCCGAGGGAGTTTATTAAAAAGAATGTTTTCCATCTACTCTATAGATCATCTTCAGGTTGAAACCGCTGCATATGGAATAACTATCATAGAATAGGACACCAAATTCAAATTCAAATTTAAAAAAAGTTGATTTTCATGCGTATCCTGCCAAGCTACTAGAATATCATCAACATATCTAAGGTATAACGATGGATACACTATCGTGAGGGGAAAGCTGAAAATCCTGAGTTCAATATGCATCTTCATGCCTCTCCACCAACCAGAAAGCCTTCCCTGTATGCCTTCGAGGTGCCTTGCAGAATATGGAGAAGTCACTTCTTTCGAAACTTATCAAAAAAAAAATTGACAACTGAACAACCAAGTAAAACAAATAAAGGGTAAAAAATACATAAATGTAAAAAACAAATAACATACATCAATAATGAATTAATAGTACAAGCCACTGTCAGTTAATAAGTAAAAAATAAAAGTTCTCATAATGTGATTGCAGATAATGGCACAATTCATAAGCTACTTGTAAGTCCTTTAATAGCAAATTTCCATGCCGAGGGTAGGTCCTCCGCATCTCTGGCGTTTATGCATCTTTTATCAAGTTTACTCCTATATATTTCCATTTTTTTGGCAGTCTTCGCTAAAGTTGAGAGTGTACTTGTCTGACGATTTTCGCCTCCTCCCATCCAACCAAAGACCCTTGGGCTTGAGCCATCTGGGCCAGCATCGTTGCATTTGATCTTTTCCTAACATCATACTTATGTTCTCTGATCCTTACACCTAGGTTTCTCGTTGTAACTCCTGTGTACTTCTTTTTTAATCCTAACTGTTGGTTCTCATACGGAATCCTATAAACTGCTGCTTTATCATCCTTCTTAATGTCCCCTTTATCATTTCTTAGAATTTTGTATAAATTCAGAGCTCATCTTAAGATCAACGTTGATTTTTTAATGTTCGCAATCTCCTTCAAGATGCTTCGTATATTTTTGTTGTATGCGAACTTTGTGTACATACCAGGTCTTTGTTTAGAGGCCCTTGCACCACTTATCTCAAGTTTTCTAACAATACCAGCAATTATGCTTCTCCTGTAACCTAAGATTTCTGCTATCTGCGTCATAATATTGTCGCAATAAAGAAAAGCCCTTCTAACTAAGGCACAAAATGCTGCCAATTTATAATGAAATGGATCATTGGACTGTGAGGGGGTTTAAAGGATTTACAAGTAGCTTATGAATTGCGCCATTATCCGCAATCGCGTTATGAAAACTTTTATTTTTTATTTATTAACTGAGAGGGACTTGTACTATTAATTCATTATTGATATATGTTATTTATTTTTACATTTATGTATTTTTTACCCTTTATTTGTTTTACTTGGTTGTTCAGTTGTCAATTTTTTTTTTTTTGAATTTGAATTTGGTGTTCTATTCTATGGTAGTTATTCCATATGCGGCAGTTTCAACCTGAAGACGCTCTATAGAGTAGATCAAAAACGTTCATTTTTAATAAACTCCCTCAGCAACGAATAAGGTGTTGGTTATTTGATTTTTCAGTTTATCACTCTGGACCTCTGAAACAAATCTGGACAAGTCAAAAATCCTCAGGAATTTTTTGAGAGTGATCCATCCCAGATTAGGATATATCAAACTTTGTCCCTAACTATTTGGCTAGCCCTACAATGGGCTTGGCAAAAAGCCCTTTTAGTGCCCATAGGATAGAAAGAAATTTTTAAAATCCAACCAATTATTAGTAATATGAAAATCATAATTTTTTCATTAGTTGTTTTCACTTTCCCAATGTTATATTGTAATCATCAAATCTGACCTTTCAGGTTTTTTGCAAATTTCAACATTTGAGACCTGAACCCAAAAAACTTCCATGGACATGTGTGTCAGCATCTATTTTGTTTAATATCTCAGGATGGGATAAAGTTTAAGAAATGAAATATGACATGGTAACTTGTATATAAGGGACATTGCTGATATTAAACATTAGAGTACAGAATTCAAGGAAGCAGGAAAACAAGGGTCATGGGTCATATTTCAGCTGGGGTAAAAGTTAATGAAAATTTTACACATATGAGTTATAAACTCTAGTCTAGAAATACATCTCTACCTTCAAAATCAAGTCTTTTGCTTTTCGTGCTATTATAAGAACA